AGAGTCTCTTATGCTTTGGCTCTCTCCCACTCTAACCTCTCTTTTTTTTTCCTTCCCCTCCCCCACGGGTTCCTATTAAATTTCTCAGGATCCACATAAGAGTGAAAACATATGGTATCTGTCTTTCTCTGTATGGCTTATTTCACTTAGCATAACACTCTCCAGTTCCGTCCACGTTGCTACAAAGGGCCATATTTCATTGTTTCTCATTGCCACATAGTACTCCATTGTGTATATAAACCACAATTTCTTTATCCATTCATCAGTTGATGGACATTTAGGCTCTTTCCATAATTTGGTTATTATTGAGAGTGCTGAAAGAGCACATTTTCAATAGGCTTTTCATTTGGTTATGGAACCTCTTTTTGGAGTTCCAATTAATAATTTGAAATTATAGCCTCCTCTGCTCAGCCAGGAGCTAGGCAGTGAAGGGCTAAGAAGATTGCTCAACATTACCAAATGAAAAGGAAACAGGTTATTTACTGTAAGAATATATGCACCACTACCACTGCTATGTGGTAATAATGGTCGTAACATAGCTAAGAAACTACTGGCTCTAAAAATAAAAAAAAACTCTTGGGTTCTCGACCCCCACTTTTAGCTTTTCTGGGGCCATTTGGATCCCAAGCATGAAAAAAAAAATTCACTGCTACTTATATCTGTTTCTGTGGATTTCAAATTAATCATCCTGGTGCTGTTTTTTACTTTGAAGACTGCATACCTACTTACTAAGTATCAGACATAATAGTAGCCATTATGTATACTTCATATTTTATTAAACTCAGATTTAATAAGGTTAAGATTAGGATACACATTTTATGGGTGAAGACATTGATGTTCAAGGTTGCCTAACTCACAGGGATTATTTCATAATTCAAACTGAGATGAAGATAACTCCAATGTCTGTCCTTTCCGTTAAGCTTTGCAACTTCTTTTCCTATCCTTTTTTTAAAAAAAATATTGCATTGATTGTTTTATAAGCAGTCTTGTATAATGTTCTGGACTCTCGCTCTTAGTGTCATCTTTTTGTGAAGTTTAAAAAATAGTACTCATAATTAGGTATTTATGTAATTTGCAATCTTAGAAATTCTACCAGCCAAAACCCACTTAAAGGCTTGCTGATAGAAATTTTCTTTTCACTTAAAAGCATCTGGTAGCTAAAATAAAGACCAATAGTGAGCAGCCACTTGAATAATCAAGTCTGTTCACTGTCTAAACTTGTTTCTCCATTGCAAATTCTTAGATTAATGAAAGCCTTGAGTTCTTTGAGGGATTACATAAAGTATTCCTCTGTGTCTAACAATGTCCTAGCAGCAGTGTTTTGAAGAGATATTATAATTTCCTGTTTCTGGCTGTCATTTATCTGACATTGTTTTAATGTAATGGACTCTTGTGGCTTGGGTTTTCAACTTCTTTTTGTTGTTGCAAAATCTGTTGCTACTATTTCAAATTATTTTCCTGTGAAGATACTATGTTTGCACCACGTATAATTTTTTATATATTTCACGTTGCATTTAGTGATTGATGTTTCAGAAATACAAGCAAGATGTTTTGTGTCTGTGTATTTCTTGGATTGAAAGCATCTTCTAGTGTTCTCAGCTGCTCATTTTGCTCATGGATTAAAATTTTAGGGGACAAAATTCCATAAAGCCACTGGCAATATCATTAAATCCACCACCACCTTTATAGTCAGTCTTTTCGCATGTTTCAGTTAAGGTCTCTTGTCTGAAATACTAGCCATTTTTCATTCACTGGTTGAGGCATTGTCACAATAGGTAAGCTCTTCCATTGCTAGGAATGTAAATTAACAATGCCTTTTTCTTTTTTCTTTCTTTCTTTCTTTCTTTCTTTCTTTCTTTCTTTCTTTCTTTTTTTAGAGCATCAGGGCATCGGGCCTTATTCTGTTGGAAACAATTCTTTTTGGGTCTCTGCTTCTATATTTTCCGGTAAGTAACATAATTGTATTTTAAAAATAGCCATTTATTTTATTTTGCTCAGGCAGTAATATAAATATAAATGAGTAATGTATTATATATGTAAACAGTTATATATATCATATATGCATACATATGTATCATATATATCATATATATGTATATATGTATGCATATATACATATATATGATACATATGATATATATAACTGTTAACACATATATTACTAGTTTATAATTCTTTATATACACACTTGTTTATATACACACATACATATATATAAATACATATATATGTATATATGATATATATAACTATTCACATATATATAATATATGATGTATATAACTGTTCACATATATGATGTTACTTGCTTATATATATATGTTTATGTACACATATCTTTATATTTATATAATAAATAAAGTGTAAAGTGGAGCTAATCATACTTTTGTTCTGAAATTTGTGAGTATGGGGTTAACTGCTTAAGTGAGCTAACTTGTCAAGGTATGATTGGTATGTATGCTTACCATAAACATATAGATATTGGTTTTCTTCTTCTTCCCCCTCTACTTGAATCGAACCATGAGACATACCAAAAACTTCATGCTGAAAAATTCTAAATGGTTACATAGAAAAATAAACAAAATGAATGTATGTGTGGTATTGGTGGCATAGATAATCCTAGTAGACTCTTCCTATCACACTAGTAACCTGTCTGTAACCAGAAGGTAAGTACCGATTTTACTAATTCAGTTCAACCAACTTGTATTCAGCAGTTACTACATGTCAAGTACTATGCTAATCGGGGAATATTTTGTGAGTGACAAAAATTTGATTTCTTCTCTCAGGAAGCTTACAATGTATAGAATGAGATGAGTAAGTATAGACAATTATAATTGAAAAAAAAACTAAGGTGCTGTGGAGGCAGGATGCTGTGGAGACACTTGGAAGAGACAACTAACCAGGTCTAGGGAATAAAATATCACTTGACTGAGATCTGAAAGATCAGTAGAAGTTAGAGAAGGAAAAGGTAGGGCTTCCATGGCCTCATGTTCTTTTTGGTTTTCCTCTTACCTTACTAATTGCTCCATTTCAGCCTAATTTGCTAATTCTTAATCTTCTTTCCTACCGCTTGATACTTGAGTGCCTCAGAGTTCAGTCCTTATAGAGCTTTTCATAGTCTACATACTCCCTTGGTGATCTCATCTAGCCTCAAAGTATTTAAAAATACTATTTATATACAATGACTCTCAAGTTTATATCTCTAGCTTAAACCTTTCCCCTGAGCTCCAAACTCATATTCAACTGCTTACTCTGCAATACATTTGAGGGTCTACCAGAATTCCCTGTCATGCTCTGAACTGAGATACTTGATCTCTCTCACCCCCAAAGTCAGTCTCCCTATCTCCATTGATGACAACTCTCTCCCTCTCATTACTCAGGCTAAAACTTTGGAGTCATTCTTGACAACTTTATTTTTCTTACATCCATCAGAAATCCTTCAAAACATACCAAGAACCCAGCCACTCCCCTGTCTCAGTCAGTCACTGCTGTCATCCTGGTGTCTAAACCACTATCAGTCTCTTCCAGATTTTTGTTATAGTCTCTCCCTGGTCTCTATGAGTCCCCATTTTACTTAAAGTAGAAGCCAAAATCCTTGGAATGGGCAACAAATTATAACATTGCCTGCTCCATTATCCCATTTTTTTATCCTCTGCCTTCACTCAGTGTTTATAAGGGTTCTTAATCTATTCAGGTTTTCTACTTCTTGAATTATATTTTCTCTTAAGATAGAATTTATTTGGGTATAATCATTTTAATTTTTCCATGAAATCATCTCTTTTACTGAAGTTGTCTGATTTACTAGCATGGAGTTATGCACAGTAATTAATAGAAGCAATATAATATAAAGAGTCTTTATCATGCCTGGGACTGTAAATGGAAAGTTGTACATGGTAACATTTTGTCTTCCCTGTAGAACTACCAGAAAGATGTTTAACCAAAGTTATAGAATCACCCAATTAGGACTAAAAGACTGAAATGACTTCACTAATCTGAATAAAAATTATCTGAATATCTGCAGCTGCAGTCACCATCATCTTTTTCCTAAACCTCTGCTATTTTAAGATACATTTTCTATCCAGTAGCCAGAGGAATATTTTAAAATATAACATCTAATTTTTCACTACTTTGATAGCTAGCTTCCCACTGTTCTTACAATAAAGATCAAAACCCTTGATACGGTTTATGATGTGTATAGTGTGGTGCTTGCCCACCTCCTCAGCCTCATCAAATACCATTTATCTTCTCACTTTCTGCACCCAGCTACTCTGACCTTCTTTCAGTTTATAAATGATACATAATCTCTCTCATGGTAGGTGTAATAATAGCTACCCCAAAATGGCCACCATCCTGAACCTATAAATATGTTACTTTATGTGGAAAATGGGAATTTGCAGATGTGGTTAAATAAAGGACTAAATAAAGATAAGGAGATTATCCTGGATTATCTAGATGGGCCCAAGGGTCCTCAATGATAATGCGAAGCAGAAGAGAGAGAACCAAGATGGTATCATGAAAAATGATTGGACTGGCTATTGCTGCCTTTGAAGATGGATAAAAGAAGCCACAAGCCAACGGATGCAGACAGCCTCTAGAAGCTGGAAAAGGCAAGGAAATAGATCCTTCCCTAGAGCCTCTTGAAGAATACCTTGATTTTATCCCTGTAAGATCCATTTTGGACCTCTGGCTTCCAGACCTGGAAGATAATGAATCTGTAGTGCTTTGGCAGGGGGGAGTTTAAATGTTTATTTATTTTTGAGAGAGAGAAAAAGATAGAGTGAGCAGCGAGGGACAGAGAGAGTGGGAGACAGAGGATCTGAAGCAGGATCCATGCTGAGAGAAGAGAGCCTGATGTGTGATATTGGGCTTAAATTCACAAACTGCAAGATCATGACCAGAGCCAAAGTCAGACACTTAAGTGACGGAGCCACCCAGATGCCCCAAATCTGTATTGTTTTAAGCCACTAAGTTTGTGGTAATATGTTATAGCAGCAATAAGAAACTAATATACCTCTTGTCCTAGGATGTTTTTCCTTCAATTTTGAAGAGTCCTCTCTTCCTTCCCCTACCTCCATCTCACCACTTCTTCTGCCTAATTAACAACTAGTCATTCTTCAGATTTCTGCTTCTTACTTTTTTTAGGAAAGCTTTCGTTGACCCCCCAGTCAGAGTCAAATTCCTTACAATAATTTCTCATGAAATCCCACTGTCTTTCTTGACAACCCCCGTTTCAGTTTGTAAGTGTACATTCACAAGTGCAATTAATTGATTAATGTCATTTTCCTGTGCAAACTCTAGTTCTTTGAGAACAAGGAGATGCTACATTTATTTTGCTCACAGTCCAGAACCTGTCACCATATCTGAAGCACAGTATATATGCAATGAATGAATGAAAAAGATTGTACTTGGATGAATTTAGAACTGTACCCTAAACTAGTGGCTATTGTCCTACTGAAGTAACTTCCAAATAGAATCTGCTTGATTGTGGAGGACTAAGAATGATAATCCTTATTAATATTACTTTAGTGCTAACAGTTAGTCAGTAAAAAAACTTTAGGGATACCTGGGTGGCTCAGTCACTTAAGCATCCAATCCTTGATTTCAGCTGAGGTCGTGATCTCAGGGTCATGGGACTGTGCCCCATGTTGGGCTTTGTGCTCAGGAGCCTGCTTAAGACCCTCTCTCTCCTTCTCCCTCTGCCCCTCCTCCCACTCACTCACACATGTGTGCATGCTCGCTCGCTCTCTCAAAAACAAAAACCAAAAACCAAAAGCATTCTTTAATGTTATTTTGAGATGTTAGCACAATTTGGCTTTATTTTTATTTATAAGGTTCATATTTATTCAAATGAAGTGGTTGTATTACTGAGCATAGTAATCTATAAAGGAATTTTAAAGCCTCTTCAATGAATGAAGTACTTTATGAAGCAAGGACATTTGAAAGAATAGTAAATTCTAGGCTAATAAATGTTCAAAGGAGTTATTAAAGACCCTTTCATTGACTGGGATACAATTTTGAAAGACATCTGATGGACCCATACCTATTGATGATTATCAGATACAGAGAAAAAGAAGGGAGAAGAATGGACATTTATAAGGAATATAGGGGTGCCTGGGTGGCTCAGTTGGTTGAGCATCATCAGACTTCTGCTCAGGTCATGTCTCACAGTTCCTGAGTTTGAGCCCCACCTCAGGCTCTCTGCTCTCAATGCGGAGCCATTTTGGATCCTCTGTCCCTCTCTCTCACTGTCCCTCCCCTGCTTGCACACATGACCTCTCTCTCTCTCTCTCAAAAATAAATAAACATTTTTAAAAAGGGAATATAATGATAGCACTTCTGCTTGATAATTTTAATATGCCTGGGACAGAATAACAGAAAAGAAGACTTACCAAACAAATAGTGTCCAACAGAAACATTACAATACCTCATCGTATTGACTTTGTGCTTAATTAGCTATCTATTTCATCTTCTATAACATGTATTTTTCTGTAAGTTCCCCAGTTTACATTGGGAGATATTAATGTATAGTTCCCAAGTTTATACTGTGTGCCTTGTGGTTTCAAATAAGTTAGTGTTAATGCTCTGAAGACAGAATGGGTCAGGTTACTTAATGAACGTTTGGATAGAACATAAGACACAGGGAAAAAAAGGAGATTAAAATATACTATTGATTGAGTCTAGAAAGGAAAGTAATTTTGTTTTAGGTGAAAGAATTGGAGAGATGATGTATCGGAAATTGATAGTAAAGGTGTTTTGTTTTGTTTTTTTCCTACATGGGGTGTGTATATGTGCATGGATGCACATGCATAAATCATTCTTGACAAGAGAAGTAACTTGCTTATTGGGCCAGGGCTCATTGACTTCTCTGGGTTTTACAGAAATGAAGTTTATAACTTCTGGCTAGACTTTTTGATTCAGTAAATCTAGTATAGCCCAAAGGTCTAAT